CTGCAGCAAATGTCGCATCAGAGCAGACACCATCGTATCAAAAAAGCATGTAGTCTATCCAAAGGACCAAACATTTTAGGAACCTCCAGGAGGGTGTTGGGGGTTTTCTTGTGGGAATATGGGAGAAGTTATATATCTGGGACCTTGGAGAGAACTCAGCATCTAAATCTGGGCAGAAGTTTGCTTTGGATTGCTCCGCTACGGAGATAATAAATTAGCTGTACATACTAAACCTGGATTCTGGCTTCTAAATACAGCACTTGGAAATCCTCTCACTCAGTCCATTTCCACCCATCATGCTACAGTGCTGGAGAAGAGGAGGCCGAGGGGAGCCCTTATCACTCCCCACAACTCCTTGAAAGGAGGGTGCAGAGAGGGGAGGTCGGTCTCTTCTCCCAAGGGACAGGACAAAAGGAAACGGCCTCAAATTGTGCCAGAGGAGGTTTAGGTTGGCTATTGAGAACAATTTCTTCCCAGAAAGGACTGTCAGGCGTTGGAAGGGGCTGCCCAGGGAGGTGGTAGAGTCACCATCCCAGGAGGGGTTTCAGAACCTTGTGGATGAGGCACCTGGGGACACAGGTGAGTAGGGGGCTTGGAAGTATTGGGTTAACAGTTGAACTGGATGATCTTGAAGGTCTTTTCCAACCTAAAGTTTCTATGATCCTATGATTCTGTGACTTACAGAAGTTACAGAAAGATACTACTGATATTTTACTTCTCACAAGCCAGAACGGAGTGAGTGGTAGACAAAGATTACACCCCATAAGTCTACCTAAACCAAGTGAAGTCCTTCAGAAGTTTTCAGCTGATTTGAAGACACACACTGGTTTTGAACTGAAGAAGTACTTTAGGTTACACAACCATGAGTTTGGGGTGGTTTTGTTGGGTTTTTGGGGTTTTTTTTCTGTAATCTGTTACTAGGGTCCCAAACATCTAGTATCATCAAAGTAGAAACCTAATTCCAGAAATATCAAACTACATCTTGAGAGAATCTATGTCAGTCTGGGTTATCTATGTGTTTGTGTACTTATTCCTGTGCACCCATTGATTCTTCCTGGTGGGAACAGAAGCACAGCCCTAAATGCTAGTTTTGTCCCAAATGACACACAGTTGTTTCAATTCAGTACAGGTCTACTTACACACATATATACTTTCCTTTCTTCATTTCTCCTGTCTTTTATCTTTGGCATACATCATAACTCTCCCATGGCACTTTTATTACAGGAAAATGAAAGGAATTCACAGAACAGCTAGTTTAGAAACACAGGCACTTTTGGATTTATAAATGAAAACATTCATTTTGCTGTTCTGCTGGGCTTTTGACTATTTCAACAACTTCACCAGATAAATGGGAGAAGAAGGATAGCTGGACATAGGCTACACAAGAAACTTCAGGGGATCCAAAGAATTTTCTATGTTAAATAAAACTAGGAAAAAATAACTACACTGTATTACAAGGCATTTGGTGAATTCATAGCTCACATTGTCTACATTGTGCCGTGTGGTTACATCTCTGCATAAACACACATATGTATATTTAACATCAGTATCACATAACCAGATCTTAATTTTACCACTAAACATGAATTCACAGATATTTTCACATCATTACTCCTCCAAAAACATTGCTGCTACAACTGGATAAAGAGACCTATCTTTGGGTAGGCTTTATCTTGGTGGGGCAAGGAAGGGGTGAATCAGTATGCAGGGAAGGTCTGTGAAGTGACAGTGTATGTGAGCAAATCAGTCAAGCTTACAAGTTGAATGTTTACTTTCCTCCACTAAAGACTCAAAGCAGGACTTGCAGAAGTTAAGCCACAGCTAAGACATGGTGCGATAGCCTAAAGCATTAAAAATGACAAGACATGCCATTGTTTAGGGCACTGAATTGAGTTCAAACAGCCTATTCCTGAAGCAGTTGTTTAGGGTAATTTTATTTTCCATGGAGGAAGGAAAAACAGTGTTTCTAAGGAACAATTAATCTCAGCAGAAGAGTAAAAGCTATGAAACACCAAATGGGTCAGCTGAGAAAAATTAATCCTGAAACCAGTTCTGAGAAGAACTGCAGGTTTTCTAGGAAATGGCATTATGGAGGATATTCATGTTTGAAATCAGGTGCAATTTTGACAAAAAGTTTGGCTGAAAAAAATAATTCTGGTCATAGAGGAAAATGACCTCAAGAAGTGTAAAAATGCTTCGTTTGGAAAATATGCAGTTGGATGCATTTTGATTTTGTAATCCAAAGCAATAATTAATTAGTTGAGGTTAAAAAAATAGCTTTTAGAGTGATGAATAAATAAGAAACCAAGCTGAACATATCACTAGGGGGACAAGTACTTTTAATTGAGCTCCAGATTAAATTATTGATGTATTTACTTGTTTATTTGCTTGTGGACACCACTGAAAAAAATATTGCAGTATTCACTTTCCATTTGACTTCTGGATCAAAAAAAAACCCAAGACAACCCACACTTCACACCCTACTCTAATCCAGGCTTGGGTGGGTTTAAGGAGAGGCTAATGAAATGCCAGCCAATATCCTTCCTCCATCTGAAACCCCTTCTGCATGACTGGGTGTCGCAATGCAAGTTACTGCTGGAATGTACTATGTAATTCTGGCAAGAAGTCAATAGACTCAAACTCCTCAAATAACCAAAGCATGGTACTAAGCAATCAGTGGAGCAGGCAGCAGCCCAGACAGCCAGTCCATTAGCAGCTTAACCACAGCAGATGTAAAGTCACCAACAAAACTCCCTACGGAGTCTCCCAAAGAGCCAGATGCTACTGCTATAAAAAGACCTTCTAGAAACTTGGCATGTCTCCTGCCCATATTTTTTTAAAGAAACATTCTTTAGATAGGAGGTTTTTTTTTTTAAAAAAAATTTTTTTGTAATGGGGGTTTTTTTTTTTTTTTTTTTTTTTTTTTTAATTTGGGGTTAGAGGGAAGGGAGAGGAGAAGTGGAAAGGAAGGGGGAGATATTGCTTATTTATTCTGGTTTGTTAGTGAGTGAATCTTGTGCTCATCAAAACAAAGTTCAGCAATAGCATGTCCTGAGACACGGAAGGCAATAAGCACATTTCCAGTCTTCTCCCACACAGTTCTGCTTATACACCTTGGACAGACTTAGTGATCCTTCCTCAAAAACCCCTGCTAATGGACTTAGGATGGAACACCAGCCCCTAGTGAGCCCAGCTTGCCCCATGTGTTGCACTTTGGTAGTTCTTTCGGCTTGTTGGTGCACATCAGCTGAGGTGCTGGTGCTTGACTTGTTGGTCAAGTTTTCCCGAAATAGCTGTGAGCCTCATGTAAGTCCCCACTGCTGAATTCATGTGCTGAGAGTGTTTCAGCTGTGATTTTACTAACAGCAACAGCAGAAACAGCAACAATAACACTAAAAATGTGTAATCCTCATGGTACAGATACCATCTGTGCCAGTAAGACAAGCATTGAAGCCTAGGACAGATGGAGACACCAACTCTACAGATATCTGAGCTTAGATGGGTGAATGTCACCCATATACCCAGATGAAAGGCTCACCTGCATCTGTGGATGAGGATAGATGTTGTTCGGGAATGTATGGTGAAATATTCTGCAAGATTTAGGTATAATAACTCAAGATGACCCCTTGCCAGGAGTCTGAGTAGCAGCAGCGTGGTGGCTTTGTTCAGCAGTTGAAGAAGAAAGCAGGTGATGGCCCACTGGAGAGATTAAGATTTCTCCTCCACCTAAGGTTCACCTGATTCAACTAAATCTCTCTGAAAAGAATTCAGAACAAAAAAACATGCCTTGATTTTGATGGAAATTTTGACAAGTCTAGCACTGAGAGGGGAAGTGGATGCCCTGAGAAGAGGAGCCCTGAGAAGGAGATGGACAGCTGGCGCTGACTGTCTCTGGTGCCCGTCTCTGACACGCTAGAGAAGATGTAGATGCTCATCTAATGGCCTTATCAATGGCCTGTTCAACACACAGCTCTGTTCAGCACTGATGCTTCCTAGGTCGTTTCCTCAAACCAGTGACTCATGGCAATAATTTTTTTTTTTGCCTCTTACTTGAACCTTTGCGTATTTTATTACGGGTTTAAATTGAAAGCAGGGAGGTTTAGATTAGATAACAGGCAGAAGTTCTTCATGGAAGGGGTGGTGAGACACTGGAACAGGTTGCCCAGAGAAGCTGTGGATGCCCCATCTCTGGAAGTGTTCAAGGCCAGGCTGGATGTGGCTTTGCGCAACCTGGTCTAGTGGAAGGTGTCCCTGCCCATGGCAGGGGGGTTGGAACTAGATGATCTTTAAGGTCCTTTCCAACCCAAACCATTCTGTGATTCTATGATTCTATGATTTAACCCAGGCTGGATATAAGACATCCCTGTCATTACTAGCATCTTCTGCTCCTCCCTCTGCACTAGCCTTTTGAATTTCCTTTAGCATTTTATTATTATTGCCATCAGCTTGATACTACATTTACCTCTCGATCTGCTGATTTTCTATTATGGCTATTCAGTGGTACATTTTGCTACAGCTTGCATATTCATGTAATTTGGTTGTTTGCGTTCTCTTGTTCATGGCAATTCTTCTCTGCAGGGATGACCTATTCTGTCATTGCTAAGCAGTTTGTATCCTGGTATTACAATGTTCCAGTGATTTTCTTCCTTCCACTAAGTTTCCAAGTTGTCTGTTTTAACAATATCTCTTGCTTAAATAGGGTGTTACATATTTACAGCTTTTGGTATTTCCTAACAAAATGTACCAGCCTCTAGCTTCTCCTTTTTCCACCCAAAAAAGGATATAGCTTTCTTTTTTTCTTCTTTTTGTTTTTACTTTTAAAATTGTTATTCCCCAGAAAAGGAGCCAAATTCATCCGTGTGCTTTTTCACGTTTCTCAGCTTTCCTTTGCCTGTGCTGAAGATTTTTCCAACGGCATTTATTTCCCATTTCCCGTTCCCTCACACAAACACAGAAACAATGACGAAACCAGGTGAGAAAGAATCCCATGTTTTACTTCGCAAAGCTACAGGACCAAAGTATGTATATTACAATTTCCAGTTTGCATTTGGAAATACATTTTACTTGTTTCATAGGTCAGACTGTTGGAATGGGAAGCAATCCTTGTGGAGGAGAGATATATTTTAGCAAACATTGTGTGCACTTCTATTCTGCTTTGGATTTTCCTTTAATGTTGGTATTTTCCAAAGCTGAGGAACATGTGAACAAGTCTGCATTTGTTGCTGATTGCTGGGCATTCTACTTCTACTGTTTTTCTCTATAGATTAAGAGTATTCCTTGCATACGTGAGATTTATACAATTGGTTTAATTTCTTTTTTCCCTTAGTCTCTTACAGCTGTTTTTTAACAAATGCAATAAACACAAAAAGAAAGGTCTGGCTGTTTCGGAAGGGAGAGGGGAGGGAAGGATATAGCTAAATGACAAATACGTTTTTTGATTGAATTACTTATGAAAAAAATTACTCCCCTTTTCTCACCTCTCCCTTAACAATTGTGTATTGTTGTTTATACTCCATATCAGAAAAAAGAATGACAATGCCTAGGCATTCATAGTTCAGATTCCAGTTTCTTCAGTTTCCTGAGTGTATTGAATCTCCACAGAGGCCATCCTCTTCCCATGAAGAAACAAGACAAAACAAACAAAAACATATTTATCCAAATAACTTTAGGGACAGCACATTTCGTAGCTCCATAATGGGAATCTGGGCTGAAAAATGAGAAGACATTCCAATATATCGAAATCCAAGGCCAGCATGTGGGGTTCTTGGTGCCTATCTTGTCCTAAAAATAAAGTTATTTTTAAGCATTAGAGGAAGAAAGAAAAAACAAACAATGCCACCAGGGATCAGCCTCAGTCATCCTCATGCATCTGTACTCATTGGCAGTGAGGCCTGCAGCTGAGCATCTCTTCACTATGCACATAACACCTGACATCAAAAAGCAAATGCACAACATGACCTCAGTCATTCTCATGCATCTGTACTCATCTTATTGGCAGTGAGGCCTACAGCTGAGCATCTCTTCACTATGCACATAACAACTGACATCAAAAAGCAAATGCACAACATGACAAAATATCCTTAGTCAGTCCCAACCCCCCAGTCATGCACTCAGTGTGTTGATGATGGACAAAACATGGGAAGGAGTCATGGAAGGCAATATAACCATGTCAGGCATGAAGCTAGGGTAAAGACTCAGCTTTCCAGAAAATAGTCCAGTTCCTCAGCAACTAGATATTTGTCCTACTTCTGTTATCCCTCCATTATCTGTAGCCAGTCTCCCATCAGCAATATTTGGGCACAGACATTTCATTTGATCACAGATATTTCTCTTAGATAATGTCTAGGTTGCAGGCAGGATTCAGTTCCTGAACCATAAGCATCTGATATAATTTGAGAGACTCAAGGCATTCAGAACATCCCCATACAGATCGCAAATATGACGTAGTGTTCACGGCAGAGTTGTCCTTCGCAGCATTGACAGCTGGAATCACTTCATCTATGTCCCTTCCTTGGATGAGGTGAATCACTCCGCATGCTCCATCTAACTAGACCTCCGTTAGGTCTGGAAACCGATACCCTGCTTTCAAGTGGACACCAACTTGTAGGTATCTTAATCTGACAGGAGCCAAGGAAGGTTATGTCAGCTGGTCAAATGTTGGTGGCATATTCTAGGATTTCACCAACAGTTAGATGAGTTCAAGCAACATAGCTCAATTCACTTGCCCAAACCTCAGCACCTAGAGCCACTTGAGATGTCCTAAAGTACCCTGCCTCTCTGCCAACTGCCAGAAAGCAGTAGTCTGCCATGGGCTCTTCATCCCATCTGTGACTCCGTGGATATACGAGACACCTGGAGCATCCCAAACAACACCATGAACCTTCACATGGGACACCAAATTGAACCACTACAGACTGTTCCTCCGGCTGAACTGCTCTACTACTTGAGCTTATTACTTGAGAGGAGTAGGTATCTGAACAACTTTGACAACATCCAACTTGCTCCCAAAGGTGTTCTTTCCAGGCATTTTGGGCTGTTTGATCAGCTACCATGAACAGATATGCACCCAAGAGATAGAACATGAGATGAGGTTGGCTCTGCTCATCACATATTCAGTCACAAGGCAAGGGTGTGTATTGCCTGCACAGGGGGTCCACGTAGGCCACTGCACATATCCCACAGCCCTGCTCTACACTGTAGTGGTCATTGGACCACAAGTGGGGTATAGTGCTTTCTAGCTATGTGAGAAAGCTTAATGTGTCCTGCTGCCCATGTCTTTCCTGCAAAGTAGCCAAACTGGGAGTGTTTTCTTCAGCAATGTCTACTATGGAGGAAGAACAGTTGTTTATAATCCTGCAGAAAGCTTGGCTGGAGGGCACTGAAAAAAACAGTGGACGAGTAACTAATTGAAGATGTAATTGATTACTCTGTGTTATAAATAGTACATAGCACCTGGGGACAAGCCAGTAGAGAGGCTGTATATAAAAAAGTCAATAAAGAGTAGTCACAACAACTGTGCTCAGAAAATAAAGAGAAAAGGAAAGAGACAGTTCAGTTCTTATATTTGGATACAGCTCTAGATTTCCTCCAGCATATGGGAATTGCCAAGAAACATGAGCCACAGCTTTATTTTGGAACTCAGATCCTGATTGCCACTGAGTTCAAATCCAGTGTTTTGGGATTTGTTTGTTAGATGCTCTGTGGCAAAAGGCCATCACCATTTCAAGGATAAAGACTGCATTTGTTTTTCCCTAAACATGCCAATAGCAACACAGCAGGGAACAGAAGGTGCCACCCCTGAATGATGCCCATCATGGCTTATTGGCAAATCATTGGTTCTCTGTGAGTCAGGAGCTCTCAGCTTCCTTTTCAGACCCATCATAAGCAAAGCCACTCTTGCTGGCTACTCTGCTGTAGCTCCCATCCATGTGCCAGCTTTCCAGCTTACCACTGCTCACTCGTCTTCGATGGTTGATGTCACTTTAGGCGACTGGAAAGACTTTTGGCATCAGAATGGGAATTTCCCATGGTGGTGGGTTTAAAATAGGATTAAGGATTGAAAACATCTCTAAACAATGAGTAAGGATCACAGTAGCTGTGGGATTACCCACTATGTCTGTGTGACAGTCCAGATCTTTGGAATGGAAAATTGAGAGCCAGTGTTGGAAAACTGAGTGTATGTTCAGAGAACATAATGCCTCTAAGAAAGAAAACTGAACCATAAGAAGAAAAGAAACCAAATAATTTTTTTTTAGCCAGTCTACATTTTGTTCAATTATGTCTTAGAACAGAAGTCCCAAAAACCTGGATGTGACTCCTACTTAACTCCCTCCCTGGGGTGTCAACGAACATGATCAAGTCACCAAACAACAGACAGGTCTTGGTGGGCTGGGATAATGCCAGCTCCAAAAGCAAAACAAAGCCAGGCCTGGTCAGGACCAAGCAGAAAAATAAACCAGAGCAGGAGAAAAAAAAAACAAACCCTAAAACACCCAGAACAAATCTGAAAGAAGCCACTGCTTTTAGCAGTTTATCAGTTACTTTCCAGAGTTGGTTAACTCTCAGGTCTGACCATGCCCAAGAGCCGAACAGAGATAATTAATGGTGAATTCTAGCTGAAAACATCAGGCACCTTTTCCAGGAATACCAAAAGAAACAATGACCAGGAAATACGGGAAATAATGTTCAGCTCACTTGGAATGGTGAGACAGAGATACCCTTAATGGTGCTGTGGTTTGGAGAACACTACTGAATAAAGCCAGAAGATGTGCTGGACAAAGCTCATGCCTTTTCCTGGAAAACCAACCTATTTGCCAGGAGATATTGGGAGCCAGATTTATGGAGGGTCAATAATTATCCTCCTAGTGTAGGTTCATCAACATAAGCATGCATTACTCCTTCTTATCTACTACTCCTTGTATTGTTTGTCCACTCTTTCTCTAGTCAGCTCAGTTCTTTCTCCTTGTCTTTTTAGAAGTCTAGGAGCAGGGACTTGTAAAGGGACTGAAAAATATGCATCCCTTGAAGTTTCCAGTCAATCATAAAGGAATGAGCACTTGTTCATGGGAAATCAAACCCTTTTAGGATATATTATGCTGGAATTCTAAAATAAAGGTGTATAGATTTGCTGGTAAATTGCAGAATGGTTATCAATTTTCTGTGCACTTGACATGATGAAAATAACATTTTAATCATTCTTGTCCTGCTTCCTTGTACAGGATGCTGAAAATATTAACTCTCTTTGATCAGTCACATATTCTTCAAGTGTATCTCAAATACCAAAACCAAGGTAACAGGATATGCAAGGGGTAGAGAAGAGACTCACCTGGTGTTTAGTTAGCCAGGATATGTTTCACAAAAGCTGGAAATAACAGAAAGAGAATGGTATTTTATCAATTTCTTTTCACTAAAGTCAGTAACATCCTGGGTATTTCAATTTGTTTTTTATTTAAATTGACTCTTCTTGCTGCCTCTGATGCAATGAAGACCACACCACTTTGTAAACCAGATTCCAGATACCAGGTACTAAATGCTTTGTAAGCCCCTAAGATAATATATGTACAGTGCAGCATAGCCAGCAGTCTAGGTAGCCAGTGGAAATGAACATGCACATCAGTCATTCCGTAGCTTGTTTAATCCCTTACTCCTGGCTGCCATATGGAACTGACTTTCCAAAATATACATCCATGAGAAACTCTGGGTCCTCATCTTGCAAGACTTTCAAGACTTCAGCATATTTGTACTAAGTCAAAGGGCAGCGAAGGTGCTTCTGGAGTGAACATCCAGAATCTCCAGAAGGTCATCAAGTCAGGGATTGTGACTATACTGCTATAGTGAACTCAAGTTTCCAAACAAACAAAGTATTTCAAAGTCAAATTAAGCTTCTGTTTCAAAAAGTTTTGGGTTCCATTTTTCTGCATTTCAAACAACATTAATTATAGATAATTTTGCAATTCAAAAGGAAAAGGAAAAATATGTTTTGCAGTAAGGAAATATTTTTTCCTTCCTAATAATCCCCTCACGCTATGAAAGTCTCTGAATTCATCATAAGTTAATGAGTCATTTGGGTAGGCAAAATCCACAGATTTCTACCAATAAACTTCTCATAAGAAACATTTCCTGGAGCTCAAATCACTGGAATAGCATTTGTAAGTAGAAGGAGACCACCAACCTGAATTTTTCATAAAAGGCTCAGTGAATGACAGAACAGCTAAATCACCAAAATGACAGAATCATCAGACACCAGATAACCTTAAGAAGGACTCAGCTGTGTACAATAACATGTTCATGATTTCTACTAGAATATTGTGATTTTATTGAACAGCCTGAAGCATGTAGGCTTGCAAGATGCAGGAGAGAAACATGGTCGACTTACTCGACCAGATCCTTTTATTCTGGCTTTCTACAATAGAAATGGAATAAAAGGAAAGTCTTTGGAAGGTCTTGTGGTATTCTTAAGACACTAAAAAGGATGAAAAGAATAAGGGTTTTTTTGCTGAGTTTTTGAAGGAAAATTTAGTGATTTTCTGTAAGAAAGTCTCAAAAGGGATGTGTATCTCTTTTTGAGAGGACAAGGAACAGTGAGAGCAGCTGTAAAAAATAATGTAATTTTATTTTTTTAATTAAAAACAAACAAATTAAGAATATACAGCCCCACCATCTGAAAAGGCTATGCTCATCCACCTATGGAAAATACAAGTAACCTTCAAAAGATAGGGTATATCAGACGAATTATGGAATCTGAATCGGTCTAAAATTTGGAAAAACACACACCCTGATCTCAGGGATTCAGATCTTCCACAGGTTTAAACTTTCTCATGATAACTGCAACAAAGCCTTCAAGCACCTGAACACTGCCCAGACCAGAATGCTCACACCTACCTTCATAGTTGATACAGCCATTGGCATCTTCCTGACCAGCCATTAGCTTATCAACTTCCTCTTCAGTCAACCTCTCACCTGGGTGAAAAGCAAAATGCCTGCTCAGTACCTGGGCCTTTTTTAAGGAATTTACAAAGCACAGTTCACAGAACTAAAGAGCACAAAAGAGAGTGAGATAGAAGACGGGGGGATGCACTCTTCTGTTTAATTTGTGGTGCTGACTGCTAGGAAAGCTACTTTTGTACTTGCAAACTGAGAAAATTTGATCTGAAAACCAAAAAAGACAGAATAAATATGGAAACCCACATGATACCATGTTCACATACTCATTCTTCTAAGAATAAGCTTTCTCTAAGTGCCAAATCTCAGCGGATTTGGTCACTTTTAACCAACTCCTTATTAAGCAAATTCTTAGTAAAGTCACCATCTAGTTTGTCTCTGAGTTTGAGGTTCAGAAAGATTTTAAGATCAAACTTAGTATCTCTGATTTGGATCAGTGATCTATTGCATTTAATTTAATTACCTAAATATTAGGCACCTATATGCCTGTAAGGCTTCATTCTGGTTAAGCAGAGATCAACCCAATCCATCTCCTTATTCTGATATTAGGCACTGGTTTCAGGATGAGATCAAATAAGTTCCAGAAGTGTAAGAAAGAAATTGGGGGGTGATTTCAGCTGAAATCATAGAAATGAAAATAAAACAAAATGCACTGAGGATGCCCTGCTATTCGTGTCTTGCCTCTTGCCCATCACTGAGTTTTGGCACACAGGAAAAAGTTCTCAGCTGTGAAACTGAAAATTCAACTCATATTTTGAAAATTGAGCAGAAAAATATGCTAATTTACAGAATATATGGCTGTGTCTAGGATTTGACCAGTATTTAGAGAAGCTACTCTAAACAGAACTGTTAATTCTCAAGATTGAAATACTTCCTATTCGTGCTTAAAAATCAGACATTGCTGCATTATTGTTACTGGAAATAGAAGGGTAAGTACAAAATAATTTCTTTCAATACTGTGAAGCTCACAAAACTGCCCACAGTGGTTTCTGTGTCCCACGTTTGGGCAACAATTCTGACTGTGTGAAGCTTTTTTGTCATTGCTGAATTTGGTCCCCAAACTGATCCCATAGCATCAGTGATAAAAATGAAAATAGCATCGCTTTTTTTTTTTATTCCCTGTGTCATTAACAGAGATGGATGTGTCATTGAATGAAAACCCCTGGGCATAAAAAGTTTGGCTTTTTCAGGTCAAACCCCATCATTGGAATCCTTTGGTCTAAACCAAAACACTTTTTAAAAGGCTCAACCCTTTTTTATGAGTGGACAAATGCTAGTAGAAAAAGATGATCTTTAGAAATGCTGAGTGGATCCAGATAATGACATATCAGAGCCTTCTAATCCAAACTGGAAACCTGTCATTAGGTAAATGCCAAATTTTCTATCCTGCACTCATTCTGTTGTCATAAGTCTTTGTGAAAAACTAGGCTTCTGAAGTCAATATTTGGGAGGACAGAGAGATATTGATCCTTCCTTTAAAAACAGGGACTTTCCATTTCACAGACCCTTCTGTTAAGAGATGACTGATAAAAAAGTGCTTAATCTTAAAATTTTTTCTGGAAGATACAGAGAAAGGGAGACAAATATTGAAGGAATAAATGGGGTTACCAATGTTTGCATAATTTGATGGTCATAAAATATAGTATTTATTGGAGAAATAAAATACTAGAGGAAGGAAGGAAGGAAGGAAGACAAATATTTGAGCTGTAGGTCAGTGACTTTTAGCTTCAAAATTAAAGAAGTATTTTTAGTCTTCATAACTGAGGACCATGTGATGAATCTGCATGAGGAAAGGTTTGCTTTACCCAATGTAGCCAAAACGTGGCGGAGTTCAGCCCCCATCACTGTTCCATTTCCCTCCTTGTCAAACACGCGCAGACCCTCCACGAAGTCCTCATAGGTGCCTGTGTCTTTCGTCTTGGCAATATGCTGGAGCATGGGCAGGAAGGTCTCAAAGTCGATCATCTTGGAGTTCATGTCTACAAAGACACAGATGGAAATGAAAGTTTTGGTGGATTTTGGGAGAGTTGGGGATTAACCATGGACCATCCACCATGGGTAGGTGATGAGGGTAGAACTGTGGCAATAAATGCCAGCTAAAGGGGAGAAAAGGATATAGAAATATCATAAGTACAGCTGGAAGAATGGATAGTGAGTGGGGAATAGGTCTGGCAAGGAGGTAAATATGAGTTTTTGATGGATGGGTGGGTGGGTGGGTGGATGGATGGATGGATGGATGGATGGATGGACAGATAGATAGTCAAATAGATATCTCCAAGTATCTGACATAAATATCAACCTGTTAGGCTCCCAAGGTTGTTTCATGCAGCATAAAAGTATGAAACTAAGCAGAAGACAGTAAGAGAAGCTTATTCCCAATACAAACCCAGCATTGCTTTGAAGCCCTATAATACAGACATGCTTTAAATATTACTGGGAGAGGAACTTCAGTGCAAATATTCAGGACCAGGGCTGTGTATCACATTTCCTGATTCTTTGACTTTCGGAAGCATTAGAGGACATTTTGTTTCCATATACCTCCTTGTCCTACCTGCCACTGAGTCATTGCCATATCCTGACACATCATAGTTGTTGAATGAGAGCCTAATCTTCAGTTCCACCTCAGTGAAAGGAAAGAACAGAGAAGTAATCTAGAAAATGCCTGCATGCAGATATGGTCTGAGAGAGATTTCTTTTGTTCTGAAGAGATATACAGTGTATGGTGAATGTTGAAGAGAGATATGACTGCAGTCATTATAAATCTTCTAACACATACTTTGTGGAACAAGCTGTGTCCTCACAATCAGTCTATCCTTTTATTTCTTTGGATGTCTTCAAAATGTCTGCGTTTTTGTAAACACATGTGAATGCCTGTCATCAAAGTAATTTTAAAAGGCAGAAACTTGTCATTGTAAAACACATTGACGCACAGGGCCATTAAATTAATTCATTCTCCTAAATCTGAGACAATTATATTGACTGCAAGATCACTTTTTTTCCTTGTTTACTTTTCTGCTAGTGATTTGCAGAGGCGTTCCATATCCCTTGTTATTTCACAATTAATCTTTCCATCAGAAAATGGAGTCTTCATCTGCTTCACGAATAATTCTTGGAGTGATCTTTTTCAAAACCAACATAGAGGACACCAACCTTCTGGTTTGGGTCTGCCAAGCACTTTCATGACCTCAGCTTGGGTTGGATTCTGCCCCAAAGCTCTCAAGACATCTCCACATTGTGCGTATGTGATTTTCATCTCAGATTTAGGAGTCCGGTCAAAGAGTGAGAATGCTTCTTTAAATTCTGGAAGACAAAAAGATAAAAAAAAATGCATGCCATGCTTCCTCAGATAAAGCCAAGTCAAGCCTAGACCTTACCCCTAACTAACTCTGCCTGACCCTTTTATTTTGCAGTTTGGGAACAAGTCTGATGAGCTTTGTTGTTGCTGTTATATTCAGTGTTTGTTTTCCTCTTCCCCTGCATTTTCCGGTTCAATCAGGGAATGGAATCAGAGAGGTCAAATGCTCTTCTCATGGTATTTCCATCTCAGCTAACATTGGGAAGTACAGAAATCCTTATAGAAATGGTTGACCTTGAGAGCTTTCCAGCTCATCAGGAGCACTCAGGATGGTGCAGAAGTCGAGCAGTTCTACCCGTTGGCTAACTGGATATTGTATTCAGCATTATACAGAGAGCACTGACACAGCCCACGGACATATAGGAGCACCTCTGTTAGCAGATGACAGGATATGCAATGATTACCTTCTGTAATTCTCACACAGCAAAGAGTCTATTGGTGAGGGAGGGTGAAGGCATATGGAAAACCTTATCAGCTGTATTTAATGGTGTTAAGGAGTTAAGGAGTAGATACAGAAGAATCCTCTGAGTTTTTTTTTTTCTAACACCCAATTTGGATCTGGAGCAGTAAGGTTTGGTATGCCACCAGCTACCAATAGCAGGCCAGGTCTCATGTGTAGCAGTGCAATTATTCCCTCCAGTGGCTTCACATCTGCCTGCTTTCCCCTGTGCACACATGCAGAGCCCTTCCCCTTGTTAGACAGCCAGCTTCCCTCTACTACATCCTTGTGAACATAACCTCAGGTCTTCTCTTTACTTCTGGCTAAAGAGAGAGTCCTTTACCACTGCAAGCAGCAGTATCTTGACATGAGCATTGCTATGGGGAGGGTTTGTGTTCTACCACTAACTACATGTAGATGTTGTACTTAGAGACATGGTCTAGTGGTGGTGGCAGTGTTGGGTTAACGGTTAGACTTGATGATCTTAAAGGTCTTTTCCAACCAAAATGATTCTGTGATTCCAATTAATGGGGTCAGTGCAGTATCCCAGGGGAGATTTCCCCAGACACACTAGTTAGGTTCTCCTCTCCCAGCTGGAGTTGCAGACGTATTGCAGAGACAGAGGAGCATCTCGGGGTGCAAGCAACAGTAGGTTGTTATCCTTTACTGAGCACACTGCATAGTGCACGATCTGTGAGTAATCACAAATATCCCTTTGTCTTTAAAGTTGTGAATCCCTGAATCTGACCCTTGTCCTGCTGTTGCTCTTCTCTATAGGTTTCCCTCCCATTCTCCACGAACAGGGAGGTTCTTTTTTCCCCTATATCCTGATTCATGCAACCATTCAGCCATGCACTCAGCATGCCAGATTTTCTCAATCCTTCTTTTCTCAGTTCCTTTTCCTCCTCATTATTCCACCTCCCCCTTTTGTCTTTCTTCTCTCTTGTTTATTTCCTGCTCTCCTTCCTTCTTCTCTTGTTGCTGGGTTTGCCTTCTCCTTCCTCCCTGCCTTTTCATTTTTATCATTCCACTCATACCTAACTCGTTTCCTTCTTCACCCAACAATTTCAAACAATGATGCATTTTCTCATTTTGGGCTACTTAATGTCCCCCTTGTTTTCTTCTTTGCATTCTCCTCTTTGCTCTCTCTCTCCTGGATCTTTGCCTCCTGTGTCACCAGCCAGAGCCCAGAGCCCATTGCCCGACCTTACTCCAGCAGAGGGCAATAGTGGATTTTCATGGGCTCTTTCCTGACATGGGAAAGGGGCCAGAGACCCACTCCCAGCTCAGTCCTTTCCTGGGGGTCTCAGCACTGAGATGTATGAGAAATATACCACTTCACTGAGCTACTCATCCATCTGCCACTTACCTAATCCCTGAGACCAATTGCCTGAGCATCTTTCACACCACCTCCTAAAGGTTCACGATTCATCATAGTTACTGACAGCTCACTCAATTTTTTTTTTTTTTTTTTAAATTTATAATCAGATGTAACCGCCTCTCACCAGAGCATTGGGCTGTGGGTTTGGAAACCCCATTTTGTCAATATACAGAAGCAGCTTTCTTCTTCTTTTTTTTTTTTTTAATTTGAATTTGCATATGCTGACTTAATGCAAGTTTCCATCAAAGCAAGGAAACCATCATAGCTATAGTCTTCTTTGTCCTCCTGCTAGACATTAAACCACTGGCAGGAGCAGTGTATATTTTCATATGCCTAATTGCTACCTATCTTCTCATTTTGAATAGCTCATATTCTTCTATTTTCAGCAATTTAGGGGGCTGAAGAGGCCAGAAATCCAGTTTCATAAATACACATTGCCACAATGAACGAATTTCACTTGCAGTTGTTGCAGGAGGGAAGTAAAGATGGGTGTGCTACACATGGCTTCACCCACAGACTATTTTTCTTCTTGTGAGAATAACATTCTGAGGGCTAATATAACAACAAATCCTTGCAGGGAAGTAAGTATGGTTCAAGAAAGTCTTTTTCCTTAGTGGAAGGTTCAGAGTATCCTAGAAGATAGAGATGGAAAAGACCTTGACATGCTGTGTTGTCTGTTTCTCCTCAACCAATTCAGAGTCAGCTGCCAGAAAACCAGTTGGGTCAATGGTGATAGATTGATGGACAGTAATATCTAACACATAGGATGGACATCTTATTGATCTAGTTTTAGCTGACAAATAGGGAAGCATCTAGTCTCATTGAGAAATGTAGGTCCTCATCTGATCAACAGAGAGAGAGAGAGGTGATCATTACACATTAGAGGTCTATTTAAAAAAAAAAAAAAACACACAAAACCAAACAAAACCACATATAAAGGTATGACAGGTGAACCTCACCTCCTGCTGACTTCCCAAAAGAGGAAATTTTACAAAATAAACAATGCAGCACAGAGATGAAAATGAACCCAGAGCAAAACAAGATCAACTGAGACCCAGAAGAAAAGGGGAGCTGGCAGTCTCTGAAGAAGAAAACAAATCAAGACGACATATTAATCTAGAGCTCCTGTGAATCCCAACTCTCAAGTCATGCCAACAGCCAGTATAACAGCTATAAATCATTGAAAGTGGTGCTTGCTTTCTAAGCTGTGCTTTTAACACAAAATGAAACAGTCTCAAGCACTGGAATACTGATTGTCCACTTTCTTAAACTGGCTGCACAATTCTTGGCAAGGTTTTGACATGTGCAAACTAGTACAAATGACAGTGTGTGCCAGGAACAATCCAAGGACAACTGTGGATGATGACACAGATAGAATTCTACACCTGAAGCATCTAAACTCTACCTAGGAGTAAATCTCTACCTAGCATCCTAGCATCTAGCAATCTGCCTGCCTATTCCTCTATGAACCTTCCAAAGGTCAGGAAGAGGAGAGGAGAGGAGAGGAGAGGAGAGGAGAGGAGAGGAGAGGACAGGACAAGACG